AGCAGGTTCCTACTCTTTCTGTAGCCGGATCCCCTGCAGATGGGGCTGTGAATGCTCGAAGGAGGCTGGTGCACTGCTAATTGCAGCACATGCACTTAACCGCGGGCAAAGCCGGCTCGGCTGTCCGTGCCTCCTCCTTTCCTAGAGAGGGGAACAGGTCTTTGCGCAACCCAGTAACCAAATGCATTAGTGTCTCAGGCCATGTTTTAAACCTACGAGGTCAGCTTTTGGCCTCTTTTCCAGTGCTTCCCGGATCGCTTGTCTGTCACGTTGCTGTAGGTTCACTCTCTCCTGTGCCCAAGCGAGCTGGTTTGCCCGCAGTGATGGAGTACTGTGGCTAATTGGAGCAAAATGGGAAAGCCACGTATAGCTGAGCAGCTCTCTGCAGGTGGTGGGTAGATGTGACCTAGTTGTCAGTGGAATCATCCTGCTTGCTTGGAGACCCGTGAGCTATTTTGACAGCTGGAGCGAGCTGACCTCTGCGAGGTATCATCTGGGAGGAAGTAAAACCAGTGAAGCCGAGGATCTTCCCTGCTGCTGCGAGCTGGCTGTGCTTTTAGGAGGGCTCTTGCCTCCTGCAGCTGTGTGAGGGTGAAGCGAGCTGGCTGGGAAGCGGAGACTGGTGTACTGGATAAGGGCAAGGCGTAGCAGGGGCAGGAGGAAGTTACGGCTTTTCCATTTGGCCATTGTGATACTGTCTTGGGAGGGTTTTTTTGCTTCCACAGCTGGATTTTTGTTTGGCTACATCACTACTTCTCCCCTGTGTAGTCTCAGAACCATGAGCCTGTCTCTTGGTAGGGGCCCTAAAACTACTTGCACCTCGTGGCGTGTGTTTTCGAACGACTGCTTTCTGTTAGCAGGCGCGTGGAGGCTGAGGGTGGAGAGAGGTGGTGAGGGACACAGGCAGCCTTCTCCTGCCGGGGCTCGAGGTGGAGATGGGAGTGTTGGGTGAAATCCAGCGCTCGGTCTAGTAAGTGTCCATCCAGTGAGTGCGTATGCGAACCAATGAATGAGCTTTGACTGCTCTGTGCGTGAGGGCAGTGCTGTAGCTGCCCCGCTGTGAACTGCCCTGCTCATTTTCTGGTTACAAACAGTCGGAAAATGGGTAGCAGCGAGATGACTCCAGCTCTGGGGCTGGGCCGATCTGCGTTGCTGCTCGCAAGGCCTTTTTCCCTGCTGTGCTGTGGGGTTTTCATCGTATGACGAACCTTTTTTTCTGCCCCTCTTTTGCTTGGGCAAACAGGGCTGAGTGCAATATTCTATTTGCTCTCCTGTGGATTCATGGACCCCTTATACTCAAAATCTGCCCTGCGGGGAGGCAAATCTAGCTTTTGAGTTCTCTTCTCTGCCACGGGCAGTGGCGACAGCAGCTTGCTGCCCCTGTTCCTCAAGGGAGTTGCCACTCTCTTGTTTTTTTTTCTCCCTCTTGTGTCCCCTCGGCTGTCTCCGCTCTGGCAGGTGCGGGAAGCAATGTCTGGTTGCTTGGGCAGCATTTGGTGAGGGCAAAGGGCCAGTTAGTAGCGGTGCTGCATTAGCCAGCGCTTGCCTGCTGTGCAAAGGCTTATTGTAAAGCAAAAAGGTTTTATTTTAGTCCGAGAGTCATCGAGCATGTTCGGGCAGATGTGTGAGCTCCATTTATTTCCTCTGCTCCCTGAAATAATATAATTATGGCCAGCAAAGTTTTGCGCTTCCCCAAAGCTGGGCAAACTCTGCTGTGTTACTTTCTAGGACGCCAAGGGCAGCACTGTGTAAAACAGAGGCGGTATGCAATACATTCGTAAGAAATTTCTATTTAATCTACTTGTTAGAGTAAAAGTGCTCCAAAGGGAATCTTGGGTGTTTGTATTCCATGATTCTTGAGAACAAGTTGGTGTTTGTATTGGTGGGTTTCCAGGCGTGCTGGTGTAAGGGCACAGCGCAAGAGAAAGCACGCTGGTGTATCATTCCCAGCAGACTGCTCTCGGGTGATGTAAATCAAATGCTAAGAAATGCCTGTGACGGTAATTTATTATAGAACTGTATTTCAGCTCTTGCTACAGCAGAGAGATACGCCGCAGGGTTCCCTTTGTTTGGATGTGTGGTAGGAAATTGAAGGAAAGAAACAATTACAAAGAGCTTCTCAGCAGCCAAGTCCAGGTTCTGGCCGTATTAATGGTTTCCTCTGAAATGTGCTTTGTGTCTGAAGAAAGTATTTGAGTCCTGTACAGGTAGCACCAAATTTCAGAGTTACAGCTCAGCCATTAGCCCCAAACTCTGTAGGCGTCTGCCAAGATTTATGGGGTAAACTTAAGGGAGGGGAAAAAAAAATAAATAGTTCTGGATCAAAGTCTTGCTCTTACACCTACATACTTCTTACCTGGTAGATAAATAAATGCCCTTGCTTGTGCTGCTGCTGCGTGCCCGACTCGGTGTGACTGTCAGAGCGTTCTTAAATGCTCTTTGCTGCTGCCAGAGCGAAGCACGAGGCACAGCGCACCAGCCGGAGCCCTTTTAGCCTTTGGGGTTCCGAGGTGACTCGGGAAAGAAGCGTTACCTGCTTTTTCCCCGTTTTCTTTGTTAGCATTTGGGAGGGAGTGAATCAGATGTTTAACTTGTGAGGACTGCTTGAATACCTCTAGGTTAATAGTTGCTTTAACCCTCACGATCTCGTCTACTGCTTTTCGATGGAAAACAGGTAAACTTACTTCAGCTAGGGAAATTACAAGTTCAACTTATTACTGCAAAAAAATGTTTGAGCTTAGGAAGGGGAAAGGAATGCCTCTTTATCCCTTGTTTTAAAGTGTAAAATTGGGTATGTATACCAAACCAAATTTAAGATGCTAAAGCTGCAATGGCCTTTTCCACAGCAGTGTCTTTAACTACGCTTTTTCTCGTTGTTAGAAGAACGGAATAAATAACAGCGGCTGTGTATTTTAAAATTACGTTGTTAATAAAATCCTGGTACATTTACATAAATGACAACAGTAATGTACAATTAACAAAGCATTGTAATATTACAGCAACAAGAGAGGACCTACATATTTGTACAGATAGCTGGAGCAGCTACTTGAAAATACTTTCCAAGATAAAGCCTTTTGTGGTAGTTTTCAGGCAGACCAGTGATAATTTTGAAACACCTGTATGGCTTTCTGATAATAAATAGGGTTATTGGAGCTGGTGATCTTCAGAAGTGGGTGTGTACCGAAAGCACAGATTGGAGCGTGCCCTGCCTAACGTGTCTGTCAGCGTACTGAGCCCACACTAATCATTCTGATCCTTGCGTGCAATATGCCTCTTTTGTAAATCCTTTAGGAATGAGGTGATGTCAGATTTTGATGGATTTGTTGGGAGATGCTGTGGTTCATTCTCGTTCCCTTCATCTGCCTAAACCATGTCTGTGTTGTGCTTTGGAGCTCGGGCGCAGCTGAGCCTGCTTCTCCAGTGTGTTCAGCTACAGTATTAATTGTTGAATTTCTAAGAAGCAGTAGTTCTCCACTGAAAACTTGGCTTCCTCTTCTCCTTCGCCCACCTACATCGAATGAAAACATCTTAGCGAATGCTTTTGGTGGGGGCTAACAAAGATCAGTGGGAGTATCTGGAGGTCTTCCCTTAAAGCTATTGGTAAGAGCAAGGTTTGTGTTTTTGCACAACTAACTGCCGGCCTACGGCTGGGATTATTTAAAATGAAAAAACACGTGCAAAACCGCTGCTTCAGACTCAAAGCTATAGATTGAAGTGGCTCCTTTTAGTTCTTCTGAGTCAGCTAGAAGGAAGCCTAGAATGAGTCCTTTTGGACCAGAAACATCTGTCTGCTGGGAACAAGGGACAAATTTGAGCTGAGGCATCTTGTTTAAGTGCTGCAGCCTTAATGTCAGCCTGCAGCCTACCTCCAGGAACCAGTCCGGTGTGCACTGTGCCCAGTCCCCCCTGAGGTAGCATATCTGTGGAATCAACATCATTCCATGGATGAGGCTGTGCAAGTGGAGACTAGAGGTCAGAGCGTCTAATCCCAACTAGCTCCAGAGAGAGAACAAACCATTAAGATGTATGTTCCTTGAGGTCTCTAGCAGATTTTTATTGCTGTTTATGCTATTGGACAGTTTTTCAGCATAGTGCTAGTTCCTACTACACCTGAGTCTTTTGGAAAACATCCTTTATGGTGTTGGATCTCACAGATAACGTTCAGGAACAGGTTTTTAAGGTGATGGTTATTGGGACTGTTGGACCTTGATAGTGAAAGGGTAGACAGTTGTCTTTTCCCTCTTCAAAATGGATCCAGATTAACAACTAGCACAGTGAAATTGTGTTAAAAAAAATACAAAACCCCAATTCTCTCTGCCCTAGCTCAGTTCTTCATATTAGGTTTAAAGAGTGAGTAATTTCAGAGTTAGTATTAGTTTCTACTCAGCTTTGAACATCTACAAAATCTCTCTCTCTCAAGGTGCAAACAGTTTGGGGGAAAACTTATGTCAGAGCCTCTTGACATGTGTAGACACTGGTGTTTATTACAACGGTGAAGCAGTTTGTGTACGCCAGCCTTTGTGTTCAGACAGATGACTCATTGAACGGGCAGCGATCCATAGGATTAGAAAACTCCTTCTATGCAGCCTTTTTACAAGTAAAACATCTATGTGTATGAACTAGGTGGCCATTATGGTGTGGAGACAGACACTTGAGACTACATATTAGGTGTTGGGTCTAGGTAATTTGCCTCGCTTCTCTACAGCCCCGTGTTGTGCTTGTTTAAATGGCAGCGTTGATCTCTTCGGTTGAGGTTCTTCACTTGCAGCATCCTCAGTTCTTGTTTGCGCTGTGACAGTGTTTCTGTGACAGTAGTAGCACAGAGAAGCCAGCTCCCCCTCCGTCAGCGGGACGAGGCACAGCACCCTTGGCCTAGGGGGTATCTCTTGTAGGGGACTTTCGGCAAGATCCAGAACGCAAACAGGAACGCCACAGCTTTGCCTGCCGACGTGTCCCCGTGCAGTTTGAACCAGTGCTCCTGCCACTGCCGCGTTCCTGCTTCACACCCTGGAGGTGACGTACACAGAGTGCAGGCGGCCGGCCAGGGCTGTCTGCAAGTCCCGCAGAGGGTCCAGGCCTTGCACTTTGCTGTTCCGGCTGTAGATCAGCTGTTTGAATGAGTCCTGCTCTAGAAGAGAGCTCATGTGTTTGAGGAAGAAGCCTTCACAAAAAGAGGCTAGCTCAGGCGCGTTGTGAATCTGCAGAGGAGAGGAAGATCAATTAACCTTTTCTGTATGTCGCTGACCTAAAGGACATGCCCGAGCTTCTCATTTCTAATGCTTTTTCCCCTTTAATGTTTTCTAAGATGGAAAAAAGACGGTAATAACAGTGGAAGAAGCACCGAAGGTAGGACAGGTGATGGCTAATAATTTCTTTTGGTGCTCTTTGCAGGCACAGGTGTGAGCAGGGAGGCATTCAAGCTTTTTTTAATTCCTTCCCCTGCTGGCCTGCTGTTGGCAGAGCCACTGGTGCACGCTCCGGTCTCTTTCTCTTAAAGGAGCAGAGCAGCTGGCTGATGAAGTGGCCAAGATACCTGTTTAGCTGCGCAAGCGGGGAGTTCGTGTGCCGCAACATAAAACGCTGCGCTGCCAGATGGCATGCACAGCTCGTGGCAGTAAGAATATGGCTCGTAGGATGTGAGCCTAACTCCTAGGAAAAGGAGCTGAATGTAGGAAAATAGGGATGTTACAATTCTAAAGCATGTTAGGTGGATTTCTGGCAGTGATCTGGTTCCCTTTGCTTCCCAGAGCCAGTGGGGGAAGCTCAGTAATAGGAGGACAATGAAACTCAAGTTCAGTATTAAGAAGTGCTGTGCACACACACATCCCATCTCTGGGAACTTTGTGCAAATAGTAATTTAAGGAAAAGTACTAAAGGCCAGTAGGGAATGCTCCCTTCCCCCTCTCTACCACTGTATACTGTTCATTTTAGGTCTGGAAAGAATCCAGCCTCCATTCTGTGGGGAAAAAATGGCCCAGTGTGAGAGGCAGGAATGGATAAAGGATCAGTGCATCACAGCGTAAATACGCGCATCGTTATCAGCCCTTTGTGTAGTCTTTAAGGGGTTTGACCCTGCAAGCTTCCAGGAATGGCAGAGGATTTCTCTATGAAGTTATTGATAACATGGGTTATTTGCTATAGGGTTGAATATCTATGTCTCACAAGAGCTTATGCTAGTTCTGGAGCTGTAAAGAATGTATTTTAGCAGTAGGAGCGCTAGGAAAGGGTTTACCTCTTAGTTGCTGTACTATGATCAATTGCCCCTGCTGCTCTGAGGGTTTGAATCTCTCGGGCTTTGCTGATGTTGCTGCATCAGCCTGCTAAGACACCTCTCCCCTGGTCTGTAGGGATCTCGCATCAATTTCATCCGTGATTGCTTTAGACAAGAAAACATACTAGGGCTGTGCAGGACTTTACAGAGTGGAACTTGGATACAACATCTCACTTGTGGTTGCGGTTGGGGTAGAGTTACCGGCAAAGCAGGTGCCCGCTCTGTGCCGGTTGTATTTAGTTACCGAACCGAGACTGCAGACAGCATACATGCTGTTTCATTGTTATTCTTAAATAAGGCAGTTACCTTTGCATATTTATAGATGTTAACAGAGTTCTCCAAGCTGATCGTCTGGGCACAGAGGATTTCGCAGTGTCTCTGGAGGCCGTCCAGTTGAAACAGGCTGGCAGCCGACAACAGCTATCAGGACAAGAGAGAAGCTATTTGAGATCATGAGCCTTGAAAGGCTTAGGGGAGACAAACAGACAGAACTGATGATTTCCTCTCTGAACGCTCTCCCACTCCCTGTCTTAATGGCCAAGTCCTCATGAAAGAGCAGAAAGGCCACTCGATGCCTGGCTAAAGTGCCACACAGATTTCCCCTCTTAGCAAAGGCTTTCTCCTTCTGCAGGAAGTGTATTTGTGCCACCCTCTGTCACCGTGCCACGTGAGCGCTAGACTGCTCAAAGCCCCCTTTTCCTCAGAAAAAATAGTTGTGTGTAGTCTTTAGCGTCAAGCTTTAATTTCACCAGACTACCTGTGACCGAGCAGTGTTATTGTAGAAGGGCCAATTTGTAATGCAGAGTGCTCTTAGTCCGTCCTTTGCCGTACCGTCAGCTGCTCTGCACAAGTTCAGTCTGAACTCGGCTGTTTCTCTCCAGTCTCCAGCCCCGCGGTGTTTGGCCTGACTGTGGGCACCAGAGCTGCCGCATCACCTGTGCCTTTTCTGTGCCCCACCAAAAACGCAGCACGTCTGCTGCCTTCTCCCAGAACAGAGAGGACATGCAAAGAAGGCTTCCACCCAACTCTGGGTACCAAAAACATTGTAGTGATTTGTCTCCCTCCAGCATCTCATGGACATAATAAAACGTAATTGGTAGTTCTTATTTCCAAGCAATAGTGTTTTGAAACTTAAGCTCATTTCAAAGTGTTAAGTATACTCCTGGCTTGGCAGCATGCTGTCGGCTCCTGCGTTCTGCCTTTCAAGCTCTGTTTGTGCCCCGGTGCGCTTGGCAAGACTTAGAAGAAAACGCTCTCACCTCTAAGATATCAGTGGTGGGAATTTCCATAGATTCGGTTCCTCCATAGTATAAATACTGCATCAGCATCTGAAATGGGAAGAAGGCCAGGCATGAAGCTGTTATCGCTGAAGTCAGAAGGGGCCGTGAATGGCTGTGCTCCCCTTCCTGAGCAGACGGGAACTGCGTGGTGTGCTGGCTCTCGCCTCCACTGTGGCCTTTTTTTTTTTTTTCCCTAGTGTTGCAAATCTGCTGCTTTCTAATACTTTTCTTCCTCGGGCTCTGAAAAGGGCCCTGTTGAGGATTTTAGGCCGAGGGTGACAGCGTGTCTCCAAGCAACACGAATGTCCTTGTAGAACGGATCCTTGGATCCGGTTCTGTAAAGCCCTGCAGGCCGGTCACACGCAGAGCTGCCAGCTAGCGGGAGCGCGAAACCGCCACGCCATGAGCATGTGTGTCTCGGGGACCTCCCAGCCACTTGCCTCCCCTGCTGTGCTTCTAATCAGCTTCCAGCCCCCCATCAGGGCCAGAGGAAAAGGCCTAATTGTTTGCAGGGAGAGCAAGAGGCAGCTTCTGCTCTTTGATCTGCATGTGCACACCCCCAGCTAAACCAGCGCTGTCTTATCGAGGGAACGACTAGATTTGGGGTGGGAAAGAGAAGTCGTTCCCGTGTCCTGGGTAAGCAGGTGTGGGGATTGCGTGCTGCGCTTACCGTTTCTCACAGTAGTGGTAACAAAACTAAGCTTCTACTTTTAAAATTGCCTTATGTGTATAACGGAATTACGGGGGAGCAAAGCTGCTTTCCAGCAGAGCCCTGAGCAGAACACAGATCCGCATCCTCCATGCGCCATAACCGAGACTGCTGTACAACACCATCATCTCCTTAACTCATCTGATTTTATTCACCATCAAATTGTTTAATTCCATGAAGTAATTCACTGTTTCAGTTCTTTTTCATCTGTTGCTCTCTCCCGTGAAGCAGATGTTTATCTTTAGAAACTGTTTGATGTAAAAGTGTTGTTAAGGAGACTTATTTCAATATTTTTTTTTTTTCATGGCCTGAGCTGCAAAATTTGGGTGTCATCTATCCAACACAAAACTTGTATAGCCCCTTTCAAGTAGAACAAAGATGTTCTTATGGTCAACTTCATTCCCTCTACGTGAGGTGATGGCACTGCTGACCAACAGCTTTGCTGTTTTGTTTGCTTATAAAGAGACAAAAAGCCTCAATCCTGTAGTGAAACAGTTTCACCACCTATTCTGCACTTCAGCTTTCCCTCTTCTGTACCATCCAAATTTGCAATGCAGAACTGGAAAGCTGGAGTAACTGAACTATCACATTTCACTGACTTGTCTTTTTCCTCGGGTGTGTGTTAAGTAACCTACTTTCTCGCCATCGTGAATGAACCTCCCTCAAGTCCACTAAATATGGAAATGTCCTAAAAGCAAAGTGCAATTCTCAATTTTGAGCCTTTCTTGAAAGGGACACCATTGATTTCTGATCATCTGATTTGACTTAATACAAAGCCTGGCAGTCCACCTGCTGTAAATAAGTGTACTTTTTGCTTAGCACAGCATGAAAGCAGTGCCTTAAAAAGTGTGAAAATGGTGTCTTAAAAGTCTAAAACTACTTTCAGTAGCAGACTAGCTTCTGCTTCATTGAGGAGGCAGCTGCCTAGCAGGAAAATGAGACTATAGGCTGGAGGTTTCTGTTTTCAGGTTGGTCCTAGCTGGAAAGTTTTGCCAAAGATCAGAATACTCCTGAAATACAGGTGTGCTGAAACGAACTCCAGCTCTGCTTGTAAATTACCTGCGATATTAGGCCTTGGCCCTCTTAGCTTCCAAATATGTGAAAAGATGAAAAGAACAAAGAAAAGGTAGAGTAAGTCACATACCTTGAAAATATTGTATTTCATATCACTGATTTCAACAGTCTTGCTGCCGTGGCTGTCATGTTCTGTTTTATTGGTCATTAGCGTCTTAAACCTGAGAATGGTTTTAATAGATTTCTGTATTAGTGCTTCACATCCTCATTACCTACTGAGGAACAGCCTCAGCAAGGGGAAGATAAAGATCCTTCCTTGTTCTTGCTTGCAAGTTGAGAACGGAAACATTTCTTTCAATTTTATGACAATTAGTTTAGAACTTCCGGGACAACTTAACCTGTAAATCGCTTGGGTCTGATCCAGTCCCACCCTATAATAGCTGCAAAACACTGTTAGTATGCCAATAACAGAGAAGGAAATTAGTAACTGCGAGCGTACCAGGTCAGGGGTGAGGCTTCCAGGAACTCTGGAGCAAGCGTAGCTCTAGTGAGCAAACTCCCGAGAGGGGGAAGGGAAAGGCAGTGAACAGTTGGAGATGTACACTCCAACTCCTGCACAGGTTTTTAGGGATAATTACTGGTTAGTTTATCTCAGTAGAGCTCCGGGAATCTAACACGTCCTAGGAGTGGCTCATCTTCACTCTCCTATGGTTCTTAACAGTAGCAAAGAAGACGTGGTTTGGTCCTGCAGACCTGAATTACGGTCTGTAGTCCGTATCCTTAGTGGCTGTCTTGCCACAATGGGTGACTGGGGGCCGGTCACACAAATGAGGGAATAAAGCAGCAAACCTCTGTACTTGGCGATGGAAAGCAACTCACCTGTTAGATGCAGTAACCAGCAGGACTTTGTGTGCATAAAATAGCTTTCCTTCTACTAAGAAAGTTACGTCAGACATTTCTTTATTGTTTAGGAAGTGAGGATCTGTTGGGGTAAGGAGAAAAAAAAAAAAAAGAGGGTGAATATTTTGTGAGACTCTGGATGCTTTTAAAAAAAAAAAAATATTAAAAAAATCTCAAGAATTTCACTGTTTAGGTGAGCATCTTACCTAGCCGAGCTGGGAGTGTCTTCCGGATTTCAGGAATGCTGGGTATCGGGCTGCTGCCGTAGCAGTGGGTGAAGATGGATGCAAGCTGCTGATTGATAGAGTCATTCTGTAAGGAGAATAAACGGGTATCATCAATCGGCACTTTGTATTGAGCAGGTTTCAAACATGCTATAACAGTTCACTTGAGGCTTATAGCAACTGCTCTCTAAAAGAATAACCTCCAAACAGAGGGATAAGAGCACGATCTGAACAAGGATGCTCTGATGGAATTCTCTCAGCAACAGTTTATGGGCCAACCTCTGCCAAGGGAAAAAGAGCCCATCGCTATCAGCTCATCCTTCCCCTTGTCTGCAGCAGGTAAGCCCACAACTGTGTTCTCAGCAAGGTTTGATTCATGATATTAGTTCATTGTCAAATACCAAGTTCTGGCTCCTGGTTTGCAATTGTTTTTAGTTAGTCAGTTATATCTCTTGCTTTTAATTTAAAGGTCAGCTACAATGAGTGTTGTAGGGAACAGCCTCTTGAAGAGAACATGGTAGAGACTGGGGGAACTTGTCTGCAAAATGAGACAGCTGAACTATCTGCCGGGGATCAAATCTGTCCTAGGCGTGCCTTGGAAAGCAATGAAACCCCAGCCATAAGCAACCTTTAAATAAAAGAAAAATAGAAGGAAAATGTCATTGAACAAAAGCATCGTTCAGAAAACTCCTAGAAGATACTATTGAGAGAACCTGAATTGCCCAGTACTGTTGTGATACCTCTTCCTCTTCCAATCACATGGTTTCAAAAGCCAGTTGCTGAACAGGACGTCTACAGAACAGCTTTCGCTTCTATTGAAATGAATGTCTTTACGGTGAGGACTGCTTTTGTGGGCTGTATAGCATTTATCTAAATTCATATCAGGGCCATTTTCATACCGTAACTCCTTGGGGACTTTGCATAGGCATTCGCTTGTTCTTGTTGTGCACTACCTTGTTCGATAGCAAAACCCAAACGCTTGACTTTGATACTGTTACAAAACTAATAATTACTTTGCTGGTTTTGAGGATATCGAACATGAGCTGCAACCCTTCATTAACCAGTTCTTCATTATAGTCCTCTTCTTTAATGGTGACAAATTCCCGTAAGAGGGTCTGTACGACTGAGTAACGAGACTGGTAGAAGGTTGTCCGTAGTGACTCGATCCACACGTGGAGTTTCCATGGGACTCCTGTAGCCACAGCAAAAAGGACAGTGAGAGATGATTTGCTGAGGTACCCGTGAGTAGATCCTCCTGCTGCTATTACTAACGGTTGGCGACCCTGAAGTAGATGTTTACATACCTTTAATATCAAGACAAAAATGTATCTGCTGTTAGGATGTGACTGAACTGGGTCGTTGACAGATTAAGTGACTTATCTACAGCAGCAGAGGACTGGTACCAGGACTGTAAGTTGGAGACTCCTGTTGTATATTTAGCTTCATGATTAGTTAGAACTACAAAATAAATTTGAACTGAACTTGTAAGAATACCTCACCCTACACAAACATGGTGTGAGGTCTTTTCTCCTGCTTACCTGTACCCGGCTAGACACACAAGCTTCAAAGCTTCTCTTTCCTACCTTTAGATCAAATCTATTGTTTCACCTTAAACCATTTAATCTCTGATGTTGTCTTTGTTTTTGAGACCACCCTCTTTAACACTGAATTTTAGGCGTCAGTATCTGATGAAGAGACATGCTTTTGATACTTGGGAACAGAGGATCCTGCCAAAAGTAAGGGACATCCTAGATCAGTGGAAATTTGAAAAAAAATTGTGAGGAGCCTTAATGCTTTTTTTGTTAAATTAGACAGCTCGTTCCCGTGAGCTTGGGATAGCTTTGCAGTCAGGGTTACATATTCTTCAAGTGAAAGGGGCAGAGGAAAAAGCTTTTCATGCCTTAAACGTGCACAATACTTAAAAAAGAAAACACCTTACCGAGTGCCCTGAGCTCCATGGTGATGTCCACGTAGCCGTGCTCAGCGCTGTAATACATGGCCTCCTGCAGAGCCTTCATTCTTGTTTTACACAGCCTGACTTGCCCCTCGCTGGAGCTGCCCTGGCTGGAGGTGTCGCTCTCCACTCCCTCAGCTAAAATCTCCTCCAGTGAGAGGACATCTCCCTTCAGTTGCTGGGGCTGGGTCAGGAGCTTGCGCAGAACGTTCCTGAGGAGGTAGAAGAGATATCCCTTATTAAATGAAATATCAACAATTCAGACAGGACTATGGAGATTTGGGTTTAGGGGTCTGGCTTAGTAAATAATAGACAGCTGGCAGATAAGGAGCAGCATTTCATAGAATGGGTTGGGGTTAGAAAGAACCTTAAAGATCATTTAAACCACTTCTTCCCTATCCCACAAGCTAGAAATTGATGCCCTGGAAGAAAGGGCAAAAACACGGAATACGCTCCTGTACCTTAGTGGTAGCAGGGTGTAATTCAGAGTTCTAGGGCAAACTGGTTTTTATTGCGCTCTATACTTTGGCATAGAAGCACGCGTCCTTCTGCCAGCCCTAAGCGTGGTAACATCTTAAGCTCTGAAGTAAGATTTAGCAGAGCGTCTGTTAGACCCTTGCTGCTTTCCCAAATGACCATCTTTGAGCATTGTTACGTTGTGTTAGTCAGACCCGTTTCCTGTGTCAGTAAATAGAAACCGTAAAAAGATGATAGTTCTGCATCACTAAATACAGGGAGAATTTTTTTTGGTTTGGAATTTCACACAGCAGTTGCAAGAAAGAGACTTGCTTGTTTGTGTGCAGCCACTTTAGAAAGCTTGCATCACTGGTGTCCCTCCAGCCAGCTGGAGCCATCTGCAGCGCACATTCCCCGGCCGAAGAAGTCCACCCGAGCGCTCAGCTGTGATGCTGAATTGCCACTAGCTGGTGCTCTCTTTGCACCCACACCACTCGCTGTGACTAAAACCAGTTAATTTTGTGCTCTAGGATCACCCTGCCCGGTTAGATGTTGCAGAAGGCTGTGGGAGGGGAACAGAATTGGGAACAGAAGAGTGTCTGTGTAGTTTTACACTGTAAATAACTGCATTAGGCCGTTCCAGCTTTGCAGAGGTTGGGCCTCATTTGAGCTTGGGCTATTTTCCCTGGTGTATCCAGATGTGCGATGTACCTGGAGGTGCAGTTTTGGCACCACTCTAAAGCACAGCTGTGTTCAAGCAAGGTAGCTACTATTTAACGTGCTACTATAGAAGGGCCAGCTCTAAGACCCCGTGGCGATCTCGCAGCCCATCTACATGGGCGGCTTCAGGGCTGTCTTAATTGGCTTGTTACACTAACATTTTTTCTGGGAACGGAAGGATTTCTGGATAAGTTTGTAAGTACTGTCTTATTTCTAAATAACTACGCTGCAAACAGGGTTGGAAGGCCCAGTCTGACTTTTCAGCATTTTAATGGCTGATCTCTTGATCAGCCTTCCAAAAACCAGAGATGCAGTCAACCAAATTCTGCTGCATATTATTTTTGCCACCTTAACGCGATTAGATTCTGTCTCAGAACACGAACCACTGTCTCATAACCTACCCACAGGTTGAACTTAGTCTGCTCACGTATGGCCTAGAACCAGCTCCTGCTCACTCTCTGTGCTGCAGAGCTCCACCAGCAAGTGAGAGAATAAGCAAAAAAGCAGAGATCTTTCTGCTGTATTTTGTGCTTTTGACTGAAATACAATCCCTTTCTTTTATCAAGTTATAGTTGCTGAATAATGTAAGTCTTGCGTAATTTCTTCTCAAAGGGCTGTAACAGAGAGCAACTACCAGTTTAAAGAATCCTTCAGTTCCCCAAAACACTCAAAAGGCATTACCTACGTCTGAACCAGAACAGTCTGAGAAACTCTGCTGTGCTAAAAGTGGTTGTTATCAGGAGAGCCTGAACACCATCTTCTGAACTGCAGCCCCAGGGCTTTGGGTATAACACACGTAATATAAAGTCACACAGGAATCCCTACAGCAGTAGCCTTAGGAAAAAAAAAAAAAAACCCTCTTCTGAACACGAACGGAGCTTTACCTGTGCCCGTGTGCAGCTGAGTGACTGAAGCAATTCATATCTTCGTGAAGCGATGAAGACATACCATTGACTTCCAACATACTCAGAAGTGGATCAGCACCCCGACTTAGCAATAAGCTGACCAACTCATAGTTCCCTAGGGGAAAAAAATTGACAGAAACATAACAATTCCATGTCTATTACCTCTGTGAAAACATATAACACAGGACTGGCAACAGACACCGCACCAACAATGTTTATGGTACCAACTGAGGCTTTTAGAGCATCCTGCAAGCACACCTTCGGGTTCTTAACATCTGAGAGAGAGAAACTGAGTCACAAGCACTTAAATTACCTAATAATGCCCAACTAGCTAGAGGAAGAATGAAAAGAGAATTAAACTGGTCTGGTGCTCTCAATACACGCCAGCAGAGACGTACACAACCAGTTTAACCAGACAAGTATATGGGTGCAGCCCATGTTCAGCCAGGCCTCCTTTCAACCCTGCTCATTAGACGTAGCACTGAGGGTGGCAGGAGACCCACACAACGAGTGGGTGCCATTTCCTTATCCCTTCAATAAAGCTTGGCGCAGAGCAAGCCAGAGACTCATCTTCATAAGTGCACAAAAATGAAGCAGACAGAAATGAAGGAAAAAAAAGTAAAAACAGGGGTGAAAAGTGTTGAAAAACAACAGGTACTTGTAGGCTTGTGCAAACTTGTTCACAGAATGCTAAACTCTTCTCCTGACAGGCAGAAGAAATGCAGAATTTTACTTGTATTTAATAAACTAATAAAACAAATTTCTTTATATAGCAGTTACTTTTCCCCAGGCTGAATTTAAACTTGTTAATTTTTGCATCTGGAAGTTCTTTAGATCCAAGGCATGCCTAGACTAGACAGTAGCTGGTTTACGTTTCTTGACAGTGCCCTGTGCGAAGGAGTTGTTTCGGTCAGCGTTACTCTAGAGGCCGCTGGCAGGAGGCGAGTGTTGGGACTAGTTGCAAAAGCAGACGCTCCTCCAGTGCCCATCGAGCTCTTGCCACATGACGACAGCTGTTAGTTGCTGCCAGCCCAGACGGGCTTCCTACTAGTGTTTTAGAAATGAAAAAAATGCTGACTTTTCAGTAGCCAGCTCACTGTGTTACTCATTTGGTATCTTTACAGTACCTTAGAATGCATTGCAAAGCGATTCCTAATGCAATTTACAGACACCGGACCCAGGCGGGAGTTGGCTGTGGTTATTCTGGGGTAGCAAGAGATGGAGTGTGCTGAGGCTGCACTGAGCTCACCTGCGGCTGAAGCCAGCTGAAGCGGCGTCTCGGCGTAGTTGTCCTCTCCACTGTTCACGGCAGAGCCCTCAACGTGGGCACCAGCATCCAAGAGCAGCTGCAACAGACACACGAAGGACAAAGAGTTGAGAAAAGAGCAATTCAGAAAGAGCAAACAGAAGGGGCTGTGTGTTAGAAAGGAAAACCAGTAGATTGGTAGTGAAGAGTGCACACACACAAAGGGACCATCTCAAAGGCTAAAGTGAAATATCTATTGCAAGGCAAATTTCTCTTGCATTTGCTCACTCAGCCTTGGGCTAAAGTCTCCCCCATGAATGTCAATTTAGAGTTTTCTTATTTTCTTTTGCTTTATTGTGCTTTCAGTAGTGAGTTTGTGCTGGAAAGGTGCTCAGCTGGCAGCTTAGAGAACATCACCTACCTTTTTTTTATAAGAAAAAAAAATCTCCTTTTTGAACATGGTTTTACAATTGTAATTTCCCAACCCCAAAGAGCTCTGCAATCAGAGCTTCTCTTCAGCACAGGAAGTCCATCTTATTTAGTTTCACGCTGTGCGCAGGAAACAGGGCTCCTCCAGGGAATTAGCCCTGGAGGCCAAACACGCCTCTTGGTCTCCCTGGCTCGCGGAGCCGCGCGAGGTGGCCCTGTGTGGCAAAGCCCTGCAGCTGCCACCCAACCTGCTTTCACTGGATGCCCCGAGCTGCTCGCAAGGGAACATACCCCCCTCCCAGGCAAAGGGGAGAAGGTTACAAGATGATGGGGACCTTTTATAGCCAGGGTAGGGCTGGAAGGCTGCATCGGGGCACTCTGAGCAGCTCTTGCAGGTGCAGAGTGTGGGTGCTGCCCCTCCCCCGTGGCAGCGAGGATGAGCCCTGCCCCATCACCAGCAGAGGTTCCTCCACTGGGCGAAGGAGTCCAGCAGGCTGTACCCCGTAACACCATCACAATTTAACAGTTTCAGCCATCCCAAATTAGTGCTGACCTTGGCCTTGGCATGAAAAGCTTATACATTCACGTTCTGATTATAAAACCTTTTGCAGAGCATGACTGCTGGTCCATTGGCTGCTGCGTTTCTCTCTGGAGAGGCCAGCTATTCCATGCAGGTATTGCACAGTGGACCTTAACTGGAAAGGTGATCTTATACACTAATTTTAGCAAAAGCTGACATCTACCCTTTTAATAATAGTTGCCAAGTAAAAAAAAAAATTTAAAAAAGTAATCTTCAGAAGTTTTAACTAAAATAAAAGAAACAAATATAGCGGGTAACGCAGTCCAACAGGAGCTTTGATATACTCGGCTACATCTCCCGGGAGAATCACGCTCTTATCTGACGTGTAAATTATGGCTGTCCAACCTTTGTAATACCAAAGGCTGCCCTGGCAATTTGCCGGGTGGAATCTAATCTTTGTGATTATTTGTAAATATACACAAACAAAAAATGAGTGTGTACAGCCTCCATTTGCTTACTTTTTTTTTTTTACTTTTTTTTCCCCCCTTTTGAGCAGAAGGGTAATTACATTCACCAGCAATTCCCTATCTGCTGTGATCAGTTTTGAATTCCTCTTGAAGTTCAGGTTGAATTTCCAGGACTCCACCCCATTCTGCTGCCCCCCTTCGTTAATTCCCCAGAAAAGGGAGCAGGGAGGATGCGAGCAGCTCAGCTCCCACGACAGCTTAAGCCTTGTTCATGCAATTCGCGAGGATTATAAAGGAAGTTACAGATGATTTGCTGCCATTAGAGCAGAAATCAGCATACGCTTAATTTTTGCACATGTAAATGTAGAAACCAATTAACATCTAATGTCAGAAAGCATCCTGATCAAGCAGTCTGCCTGTAACCTCTCCGCATGAAGCACTAGTTTATCTAATACCAAAGAAACGATTGTGCAGCATTCTGCTGGAAGCGGTAAGCCACGGACCAACGCTGAAACCAAAGAAAAATAAGGAAACATACTGTGTTTTGTTATCGAGGCCTCGCTAGGACTTATGTCATCAATTCACAATTCCGCAAGAAAAGCATCGGTTGCGTTCTCGTCATTTTCAAAACACGCGTGTTTTCATTGGTTTTTAGAAGGCTTCCACCAAATGGCACCTGTGACGGCCTCGTGTTCAGGAGGGCCGACAGCGAGGGTGCTGCGCGTCACTCCCTCCCCGTCTCCTGTAAAGGTTCCCGACCGGGGGGTTTCCTCTGCTTACCTGAACAACAGAGATGTGCCCATGTAGGACAGCAAAGGTAAGAGCGGTCCAGTGCCGGCTGTCAGGGTGGACTGAAGGGTATCGTGGAGAGGTACTGGGAACCTGGGAGAAAGGAACCAGGTAGTTATTACCCACTGCGGTATCTGTCTGCCATAATCTTTAGAATTGTACATAAGTGGCTTTTTCCTTTGTAAGTGACAACCCCGGGGAATGGGAACTTACGCCGTTTAGAGAACACTGCCGGCGCTAGTCACTCTGTCCAGTCCCCTGGGCCTTTTTAATGGGCTTATTGGTTTCTCCTAGTGGCAGCTCTTTCAGGGAAGAGGCCCCTTTACCCCCACCATGCCTATTAGACTTGCCAATGCCAATCATAATTGGAGCCACTGAGCGCTCCGAGAGGTTTTGAAGGTTATCTTCCCCCTCCCAAATCCCTGAAGCGATGATTTCTGAAAGAAGTGGCTTGCTCAGAAGCTTCCAGAAATGAAGCCTTCAGTTGCTAGGAGAGATTTCATAACTGCTCTCATTAGTTTACAGATGAATAATTACGGGCTGAGGGTCCTCTGTTACTCACTGGTATATCTAAATTTGCTCCCGCATCTATAAGCATTTGGACCATGGCTTCATCTCCAGCAGCACAGGCATACATTAGTGGGGTCATACCCTTCGGGAAGAAGAAAAAAAGAAAGTTATAATTCTATACCTGTCAACAGTGAAACTGTCACGGACATGGTGAGCTTGAATCTTAACGCACAGCAGAGAGTGTGTGTGTGCGCGCAGGTGTGCACATGTGTAGGGACAGCGTACGTATATGTTCAAAACATTAGATTTCTATGCAGAGTGGGCACAACTCACTAGTGTTGGGAAGTGATGTGGACAAAACATCAGGGGACACAACTGCAAGAATACAAAAGGGATCACTGAAAATCCCAGCTGTGTGTTGTCCACAATTCTTGAGCTTTCTCAAGGCTGCCAAAAAAGAAATACCATTTCTTGGATCATTTGTAGCCAGATGAACCGAAAGCAGAAAACAACACAAAAATACACAAGATGAATTTATTTGGCAACTTATCCCCATTGCTAAAATCCTATTTGCCGCAATATTTCAGCATTTCAATCCCATAAATCTCTCTCTCTCTACTTAAGCAGCAAACCATGACGGCTCAGAGATGAATTATGAGAGAAATGAGCCTAACGGAGTTCATTCCAGAAGTAGCCAAGGACAGAAAGGAAATGGCCTAGTAAAATCCATTCCTGTTCGCATCATACAGCTTCCCCCCCCCTTAATTTTTATGAGCGTTTGAATTTTCACCGGCAGCTTCTCTGCTGCTCATTGTGTAATAATACAGCTTCATCTTTAGAGACCGACATGTATCATAAAACAGAATTACATCTCACACTGAGGAGTGCTGACCTTGTATCTGCAAAGGCATCTTTTCAAAACAGCCACAGTTCCAATCTTCCTGCGTTTGAGGCAGTGACTTTGCAAAGATGTTTCAGGGGATGGGAGGGTTTGGCTTTTGCGGGGCTTGGGAGGATCCGCTCCCATTACAGACAAGTAAACTTAACTGAGAATTCAAAACTCAGGTCTGCAAACACAAGCCCATATGTACTGCCACAGTCAGGGTTCTAAAACTACCTGGTTTGTATAGGCTTACCTTACCTTTTTTTTTAATTATTATTTTAGTATCGATTTTGCATTCCCTGCTTGTTCCTCAGTATATATATTCCAGCTATGGCAGAGTCACTGCTGGAGTCTGGATTTAACTTTGCCTGTGATTGGTAGCGCGGTGGAGGACACTCGCTTTGCTGCAGAGACGAGTTGCTCCAGAATCACTTAACTGGAGAATTTCAGAGCAGCAGTGTCTCCAGAGGGAGCCTGTCTTGCCCTCCTCACTCAGTGCCAAAACACTGCTTTGAGATGTGGGAGCAGCATTCTGCAAAGAGAACAGAGCCGCCAGCACGCTACGATCCCCCTGTTCACAGTAGGACTGGTTAGAGGATGACATCAACAGGATGACAGCGAGACCGTAAATAAGTGACAGCAGAAACTCCTCAAACTTTCCAATGAGTTGCCTACAGAACGCAGGGTCTTTATGCATAAAAAAGCCAAACAGCTCCCAGTTTGCTGACTGGCTGAGGAGAGGTAAAAAAGACATCCCGCAGTGAGAAGTGAGAGTCTCAGCACCAGAGTCTCAGTGTTAGGATAGTAAAGTTGACAATGCAAAATAATCTGCTTTGAGAGGACAAAAGGCCTCAGGGCTACATAAACAAGAACTGCAAAAACTTACAAAAAAAAATAAATACAGGAAGTTAAGCGGTAGACCTTCGCAATATAAATCTGCCACCTTTGTCACTTCAATAAAGTCATTATCAAGGGGACTTATGATGTCATGCCCCACCTCTGTGACCACAAAGCTCCTTGTCCTGGATATGTAAATAAGGCAATACATACCTAGATAGAAGCTTGTGCAGGAGCAGTTTCTGCTCCTATTTGTGTACACATTCACACTTCCTTTAAAATCACAGGATGGTGGAAAGTACCGTGTTTCAGAATTTGGTTTGAAATGTTACTGCAGTAAAATGCTGTCTATGACAAAACCTCTCGACTTGAATGTAAATCCTTCCTACTGATAAATATCCTATTGTTTCCGAGACATGACAGATCATTCTCATTGCTGTGACAGCTATAATGAGTGTTTATTTGGAGGAGTTTTGTTGTGTTGGATTTTTGGTTGTTTTTTTTTTTTTTTAATTAAAAGCTAATTCAATGCATTGAATGATGCCCCAGAGAACAGACTGCTGTTACTTGATGGGTCTGACAGCACAAGCAGAAGCAGCTAAAGACTCCCCAGACCACCGCATCCCTATGGTTCAATGTAGCTGAGCAGGGAACAGGTAAAAATGAAAAAATAGACACATCAGCAACACTAATACCAACGGATACCAATGCCACGGGGGCTCTCGGGGCTGTTTCTTACATGCCAGACTGTACTGAGAACATGTAACTCACTTCGCGCCTGAAAGCCATCAGACTGTAACACCTTTTGGTCACTCCTCACTGACCCAGTCTGCATTCGGGCTGCTGAACCAGAAGAGGGTGTCACTGGCAAAACCCACTTTGTTTTGACACTGTCTTAGCATTAAGCCAACATCAGACTTTCCATTCGTAGCCAGCGTATTAACCCGTCTCCCATCAGAGTCTGCGACAGCCCATCCCAGGAACAGACCTACATTCCAGCTGATAAAGAAACAATGCACTCAGGGCTTTGACTGGCTCTTCGGGGGGTTATTTTTTTGGTTTTTAAGAGTTACATTTTCAGACTAAAACACAAGCTAGAATTAGAAAAGCCTAGGAGAGGCAACTCACATTTAGGACCTCGTCTATTGATTTGCCACGTGGAAAGGCACACGCAATTTGTGCATGCAAAGAGCTTTTGTGTGTGTGGTGATATGGCATACCTGATCGTCCATAGTGTTAACCCCGTCAGGTCCCAGTGCATCGATTGCTTGGTTGATCAGATCTGTCCTTCCACAGTTTAGCATTCGGAAACCCAGATCCTGCTGGAATTTTTCAGTAGCAGCCTTAGCATCCAGTCTCCGGAAGGAACTAAAGCAGCATTCAGGTCTGTGAAGAACAACAAAATTTGTGAGGTTTTGTTTTGGTTTTGTTTTTTTATTAGCTCCATCTCCTAAGAAATCAGGTTCATGAATTTTCATGATTTTACCTATCTTATGTATACCTTCCCCACTGCTTTATCATTTCTGAAAAAATTGGCTAACCTCACTCATACTGGAGACAGAAGTTTTAGTTCTTCGAGAAAGACAGTAAGTTCATGTGAACACTGCAAAAACAGGGTCTACATAGAGGAAGCTCATTGGTTTCTGAGGGAAAGGCAAGGAAGAAATCCTTACTCCTGCTCAAGAGTGGTAGTTTCCACCCAGCCCCTCACTCCCTGCATCACCCCGGCTCAGGTACCGCTTCTGCTACATCTTACCCAGCAAAAGGGGAAGGGGTGCCGGGACAACCGGGGTTACTGCAGCAGAGAGGTTATTGCGGTGCGACCAGTGTCACAGGCTGCAAACCTGCAGCAACCAGGTCTCCTTAGCTCTGCTGCTCACAAAAAACCCCACCAAAAGCCAGTTGCTTTAAATAATCAGCTGTATACATTTTGGATAGCATATTTATATTTTCCCGCTTGTTATAGGATAGTCCATCAAACATATTGCACAGAGGAGAAAGAGGTGGAGAGAAAGTGTATCTAATAAAATACCAGTGTAGTTCTAGGACGAAACAATTAATTACACTGCCTGTCTACCAGACTAGCTATAATAATAATAAATAATAAAAGGCATTTGAAATAAAAGGCATTTCTTAAGGAGATAATGATCCTTATTCTTTTCTGGAAAATAAAATAAAAATTAAAAAAAAAAAAAAAGACATCACAATGAAATTTAGGTACTCCTTTCCAACGCCTCAATAAAAGGAAGTGTGTTAACATTTCTATGAGGCTCTATCAAATCCTTATCCTTTAGATGACTATCAAATGTCCTTTATCTCATTTGGAAGGCGCCCAGGGATTACTGTAAATCCTCTGGTTATCTGCTCAGAGACTTCTGAATTCCAAACCTGGAAGTGTATCTCCTTCACTGAAGAAACACTGCCAAATTGGAGGAGTTTCCTGTCGGAGCTGGGCACCGATCTGGTCGGCCCTTTGATGTTATTTCAGGGCGAATGCCTTCTCTACTACTTGTCTGGTTTTCAGCACAGGCTCTTGCGCAAACTCTCAGAGAGTGAGATATCAGCCCGCCGAGTTCCTTTGAAAAATGAGATTCTTTCAACAAGGTTAACCTCTTCTGGAAACTTTGTGCGGCCTGCCAGAGAAGTAAACCACTCATCACTTCACGGAGAAGATTCAAGATGAATCTTATTCACGTTTTAATTCAGCTCGTCATTTTTAATGCTTCTGAACTTGCATCGGTGGTGGATGACAAATGGTGAGCAGATGCCGTGACCGATATGCTGAGTTAACAAAGATCCTTCCACAGCCTGGTGACCGCTCCCATTGTAGAGGGGAAACCAGCATCTCGCCGCAGCTGCTTTCAGAAAGGAAACTGCATCAGGGTACAAATTGGGGAACAATGGGCAGGGAAGCAAAATGACAGTCTTGGAGTCACTAGCTCTTTGGAGCTACACCCGCAGATGAAACGTGTCTCTGAGGCAGCTGAGTACAAATATTTGGTCAGAAGACGAGATCTCTGAAGCACCCAGATACTAGATGAGGACACGTACAGTACAGAGCGCAAGGGGACAGTAAGGTAACAGGCTTAATGCTGCACATAGACATAAATCCTAGAGCTAGGCTAGTCGATTAGTAATCTCGTTCTACTAAGGGAATTGGTAGAGTATCGTGATGCTACAATATTATGTAGAATATGATGCAATGACTTTGTATTATAATAGTAAGAAGGAAGAGAAGAATCCTATGCCAAAAAAGGGAAATAAAATGACATCACTCGCAATCCAGTGAACCTCAGTTTTTGAAGGGATGGTACCTGTCTTTGCACATCATTTCTGTTTTGCCAACAGGCCTGATTCCACCCGGTGCTAATTACAGGTGCTGTCGGACCAAGGGTGGTGGGGGGACGATTCACCCGTGAGCCCTGCAGAGCAAACAGCTACACAAAACAGTGGCACAGAGCTGTCAGAGAGACTCAGCGAAAAGGGGGTCTGCAGTTCTTGGTGCAGAGCTGCCAGGAGCCCAGTTCAGGCACAAGAATTTGAGGTTATAATTTGTGAGCTTTACTCCTGGGGGACCTGCAGGCTCAGCCCACACAGAAGTTCCAGTGTGCTTGCTGTTCTCTAGCAGTAGCTTGACAGCACGCGCCTCTATGATAGGTGCAGAGTTGCTTTTTCTTCTTGAGTGTGATACAAGTTAGAGCATCCTACGAGAGCCGTGGGGAGAGCTCACATATACAGAACTGCTGTGCAGCAGCTGTAACCGCAGCAGGTTTTCCATGTGTGAGTTGTTACCCCGTGGAGAAGAGAGGCAAACCCTTGCACGCTTCCTAAAGTAAAGCCGGTGCTCCTGCAGTCGCGCAGAGAGCAGCTCCCACGTACACCCAGCTGTGCCCAGGGGAGAGGCTGAAGAACCGAAGGGGGACTTAGAGACACGGGGGAGGGAACGCCCCAGGACAGGGCTGGGGTCCTAGCTTAGGAAGGGATGGCTTGAAGAGGGACCAGGAGCCTAGTGCGCTTTTTGGGTTTCATAAGCTGTAACTACTACTAGAAGTAGAACTACTAGTAGTGAACGATTTAAATTTGGCCTGCAGTGAGGAAAGAAAAATAATAATAAAAAAAGCAGCGTGTGATAATAGCTTAATATTAAAATCCCAACATTTATATTTAAGTAGGTGGAAAAGAAACACAGTTGTCTGCAATCTAGCATCTCCCCACTTATATCATCATTGAAGCAGTAACAGGTGAGTACTGAAGATGTTTATGAATTGTCTGGCAAACATAAACTGCGAGCATCCTATTAGAAGGCTTCACCCACTAAGACACAAACAGTTGTTGTGGAAGACTACACTGCCCAAGCAATCTGAGTCAGAGAACAGATATTAGAGGTCTGAATTTCAGGTTATACTAATTATACGTTGTTCTCTGCACAACTTCTCTTTCAGGGATTTCAACATACCCTACCTGATGCATCACCACTGCAAGAAACTATCATTATATCATTTTTAGCCTGTGCATCATGTGGAAAAGCGAGTTGCAATTTGCATATAGTCACACAGCAAGCCAGGGGTAAACCTGGCTTCAGTTCCAAGATTTCCTTTCCCCTTAACTGTGCTGTAATGGACAGATACAAATGACTGCTTTAAAGGATCATATAATGGGTACTGGAAACAAGGCACTGCTCCCTCCTTGCGGGGTTTGTTGGTTTTTTTTTCTGTTAGTTTAAATCTTTCATGCAGCAAAAAGACAGTGAATGCTCTTTCTGTCGTACCACACATCACAGAACATCCTTAGACCTCTGAAAATAAAACTCAGGCAAGGCAGTTCAGAAAAAGGACCTGATCCAGCTTAACTTCGATTTTTGTACTCTACTACAAAGATGATGTGTGTTACTTTAAAGCGGCAGTTGATTCACCTGCAGGGAACGCACGCTGCACACAACCCTGTGGAGGAACAGTTTCGTGAGGTAAAAAGTGTGAAAGATCTCAGTTTTCTTACAGAATCGCCATTCTTTCTGAAATAACAACAAACTGGATAGAAACCTCTAACATACTCCTTCCCTGGGCCAGTACTGCTAACCCTTAACAACCCAGCAACTGAATTATCTTATGCCTGAATACCCCACATAGTGTGGCTCAGGCCCTTCATACCCGCTTCTCACTTTTCTTTATTGCCTACATTATTCTGGACTCTCTGAATTTCTATCGAGACCTTCATTTCGTAGCTGTGTCATTACGGCTTCCGTTTGAAGTTACTGAGATGAAGCCCATTTTCACAAAGACTGTCTCACTTTCCTTTTAGCTCACCATTAGCAGCAAAATCAAACACCCAAATCCCTTCCCTCTTTTTGGTTTGTTTTTTTAATGGTAAACGATCTATAAAGTAAGGGACTACCTGTGCTTCATGTGTTAGTGTGCACAAAAGACCAGCACAGAGGTAGAGTGGGATGGCTTCAAAGTGGAAGGTTTGGATTCAGTTTTGAAATGAAAAGTCTTTCTAAAGGAGACGACTGAAAGAAAAACCATGAAACTGACTGGAAGTATTTGCGATTGGGTTAGTCTTCTGCAGTACTGGTCATCAAAGAATTTCAAAGGTTTTGGCAAGCATTAGGCACATACGTAAAATTAGTTTAGCCCATATTTAGCCCACTAGCACCTACCCTCCACACGTAAGCCAGAGTAGCGCGTGCTTTGATTCACACAGAGCACACGTACGCTGGCAGAGAACAGGGAAAAGAAAAGCGTTCCAGGAATAAACGTCCAACTCCTGCTTTGTGGATGCCAAGTCCAAGTTCAGCTGCTCCCTCCCAGTCTGAAGCCAAAGAGTTTAAATAACTGCTGAGGATCACCTGTTAAACTCCACTTTTAAAAAGACTGGCCGCACTCTCAGCCAGGTAGCCCATCTCGGGAGAAAGGCAGGACCTGAGAGCTGAGAATAAGACTAGGAGTCAGCTGCAGCCCACCAAATATTCAGTCACCTAATTGCACCACCGTACTCGCCAACTAATTTAGCTTCGCCTGAGGTTTTGTGGGTAATAAGCACTACCCTTCAGTTCACAAATGGGGAGACAGCGATGCAGCAAAAAGCAAGAGCCTGTTTGGCTGCCAGAAAGAAAAGGTAAAAAGCAACAAAATCAGATCCAAACCTCCCGATTAAAAGCCTCTTGTTGCTTTTGTTGTTCACAAAAAATAATTCCAAGAATTTAGAGTATATTTTTATCTTTTCAGGTGATCATTTCATCACTTAAGAGCATGATAAAGGTCTTATTGTTAATGTGTCCTGCCCACTCATTTAACCCAAAGGTATATAGGGCACAAATTTCACTCAAGAAACAAGAATTTACTTTGTATTAAAGTTCAAGATGTAACCCTGATATCAGAACCAGTGCTAATGTCAGCAACTTAAAGGACTACAGACCTGAACAAAATACCCATGATGTGCTAATGAACCAAGCTAATGATAAATCCCCGTTCAATATGTACACGAGGGGAAGACTTTAAAAGGTATTGATACTTTTCATCAAGTTACCTCAAAAAGCAAAGAATAATCTTGTAGTTAAGGCTGAGGCATGAAAAACCCCAAATACTTGTATTTCAAACCTTCTCTGTCTCATTCCTCCTACGCAACTGTTGGCAAGACAAAATCTTTCTACCCCAGCTGCAGCATTTGACCAAACACTTCTTTATCTCTTGGAATACTACAAGGTTAAACACGTATTGCCAGTATAGTATTTTGAGATCTGGCTCCTGTAAGAAGAATATTGTAAGAAGTTACAATTACTTTAGCTGCTTATAAAGTTTAGTCCACGTACTTTAGCTGCCGGGGCTCACAGTCCAGTCCAGGTAAGAGCAGTCTGGCCGTCTGCCTGATATCGTCACTGTCCACAGTTAAACTGCGCCGGTGCTCAGCGTAGGTGATAGCCACTCTCATCCACTCCATCAGCGGCGGCAGAAGCATGAAGGGTCTGTGCAAACAAGGAAAAAGTCCATCACAGTTAACGTTGGCCTGCTGTCTTGTACGGCAATGCATAAAGCACACCTCATCGCTTCCCGGGAGCGCTTGCGGGAGGCTGGAACAGACACAACCCCCCTGCAGAGGCAAACTCTGTCCCTGCTCAGCAAGGCTGGCTGGTCACAGCAGGTGGAAGGAACTGGAACTGCTCAGCCTTGGTTATCTGAACTGACCCTTACCCAAAATGGTTACCGGGACATGCTGCTTTCATGCAATACATTTTACCCTGTGGGAAGTAGGGCCAGACTGAATATACCGGACCTACTTCTACTGTGTAGGTCTGCAAGCCGGCAATGAGCACTGGCAGCCCAGAAACCCACCCACATCCCGGGCTGCATCCCCAGCAGCGTGAGGGAGGGGATTCTGCCCCTCTGCTCTGCTCTGGGGAGACCCCCCTGCAGTGCTGCCTCCAGCTCGGGGGGTCCCAACATCAGAAGGACGTGGACCTGTTGGAGTGGGGCCAGAGGAGGCCCCAGAGATGCTGGGAGGGCTGGAGCCCCTCTGCTGGGAGGACAGGCTGGGAGAGTTGGGGATGTTCAGCCTGGAGAAGAGAAAGCTCCAGGGAGACCTTAGAGCCCCTTCCAGTCCCTAAAGGGGCTACAGGAAAGCTGGGGAGGGACTCTTGATCAGGGAGGGGAGCCATAGGATGAGGGAGAACCGTTTTAAACTGGAAGAGGAGGCCAGGTTGGATGGGGCTTGGAGCAACCTGGGCTGGTGGGAGGTGTCCCTGCCCAGGGCAGGGGGTGGAACTAGATGATCTTTAAGGTCCCTTCCAGCTCTAACCACTCTATGATTCCATGACTCTACTATTACTAGCTATAGGTCAGCCCCCCTAGCTCACATCGCCAGTGCTTTCCTTTGGATCAGAAGGGCTTTTCATCTCAGGGGTGCGACTTACATCATAATTGAGTCTGTTGTTCTAAATAACCCATACATACAGGCTGCTCTACCGCTCACTTAGTAACACTGAAAAAATTCTATTGTTTGAAACTTCAATTAAACCAAGCTAATTCACTAGTACCACCACTGATCTTTACGTTACATCATCACTCTGCAATGGCTTTTAGCATCCTACATTTCTTACATGCAGAGCTCAGGCCTTCAGTTTTGCATAACTGACCCTCTAGACCACGGAAGAGCTGCTGCAGTTATGTTCTAACGTGAACTGTTTTGCTAGGGAGGAATGAGTAGAACTAAAAAGATAACAACTAACGTGGAGACATCTCTGCAAGAATAAATGTACACCATTACTTAAATTGTAAGCAATTCGTGGAAGAGCAATCCATCTGTTCCTAATTTGCACAGCATCCAACACAGCGAGGTTTTACTCGACAGGAAGGGTTGCAAGGCAATAAAGGAATATAAATAAGGTAATAACAATAGCAACAACAGCTGTTATGGACCAGCTTATGAAGAGCTCCCCCCTTACTCCTGCAGTAAGAATGAACACAGTACTGAGATTTCACCTTAATATATAGGTACCATAATACTCTCATACACAATATATCTCATCCATCTGCTCAATATACAGCCAGACTGATCAATTATTTGCTTGATTTGTTTCCCCGGGGATACCTGCCACCCTGGTGGAAGGCTCAGAAGGGCCAGCTGTAATTGACAACACCTCTCCCTTTCCAGTAACGAATCTATTGACCCTGGGAAAAAAAGCACTTTTCATTTAAGCATTCAAAGGAAAATAACTGAGGGCAAAAGGTACCGATTCCTTTACAAAGTTCAGAGAAAAAAAAAGATACATACCAGAAAACATAAAATGATTTTGGCATTAATGAAAGCAGCCGAAGTCACGAAAGGCATTTTCAAAGCTGTGCACATATACGTACGCGTGCGTGTGCGAGCACTGTAAGAGTAAGCAGCACCAATCCTGTTGGAAACCTTTTATCAATAATGGGATTTGCAAGCAGAACTCCCCATGTATGACTTCGAACATCCTTCAGGGTAGAATAACTCCACTCTCTAAAATATGTGCCATCTGTTTCCATTTTGCCCGTTGCAAGTCACACTCTAAAATGCTGCCATTATCTCTTTACAAACAAGTGCACTATTTTTCCCTCTGCTCCTTCTCTTCTTCTGAGTAGCAAAGCAGCATCTACAAAATCAGAGGTCCTTTTAAGCATCTGATCAATCCTGGATTGCCAACGCAAGGGTGTTTTTAACTGGACATCTACTTACTGCTTTTACCAGTTCACTTCTAAGTCAAACAATATCAGGGCTGCTACATTCATCGCTTTGAAAATGACCCAGTAGCTCATCAGTTGAAAGCCTTTTTCTTGAAGTCCTGCTTGAATCCCCCAACCCATTCAGGCTTTCTAACTCATCCCAGACCCATGGATGGGATGAATCCCTCCAGCACAGCCAGTTCAGAGTTGACTGACTTCTCTAAGGGAAGAGCAGCAATTGGCAACAGGCATTAAGGAGATGCCCTTCAATGCTTATCTGGCCTACAAAAGATACATTTACACCTTTTAAATTCAGGCATTTAAGGGAGGAGCCTAAATTAATTATCTAGACTTTCTAATTACTCAGCAGGGCCTCTAGTATAGGATTCAAAGCTTCCAAGAGGTGGTGAGGAGAGAGAGGTAGGCTAGGGAGGCTAAAAGCGCCAGAGTTAAATACTCAAAGTTAGATGGGGTCAACATCTCAGGAGCAACTGGAAAACTCATCTTACAAGTGGTTATATCTACCACCTTTTACAGTAGATACGCTATTTAGGCCACATCACAGCTTCCCTGACACTTTCATGGTGGCAGCACTGCTGGACAAAGAACAACATCTGATCATTTTATCAGGTAAAGAGCCAAACCTTGGTGGCTGTTACAGACGGCACCGGGCAGCAAGAGGCTGTGGTCAGCTAACAAAAAATACCATTGAGTCTGCACCAGAAATAACACATATCATGAAGAAATTTCCATTCTGTTAGAAATTCACATGTGCCAGGGTTATAAATGGTTTGCATGCGCAAGCAGACCTTGAATGTGGAAAACCCGGGTTGGGAGGAACGGGAAGGAAAAGACTTTTTTTGGTTTATTTTTTCTAATCTCAACAGGTTTTTCCAAAGGCTTTAAAACTCACAGCTCAAGGGACTGCCCAGTAACCCTGTGCCCAAAGGACAGCAGACTTTGGATTGCAATAGGAAATGTCAGAAAGGATGTTTTCCTCTTACTGCTATCCTAGTTTGTCCCAACCCCACCACTCGCTTCGCTGTGCAAGTTGGATAAATCATTATTCTATCAGGAGTGACTGTAATGATTTCAATTTCTATTTGCCGTAAAAGGTTTATTTCCCTTGAAAATTTCTAGCTTTACGATGGGCTTTCTTATTCTCTCCCCCACCACACATACACTCCTCTTTTACCCAACTATTTCCGCGCGGGCATGCTCGCGGGAACAGCTCTGTGTTACTTTGCTCACTGACACGACATCAGATAAGCAGTATCATCGCGTGATCTGAGCAGAAAGAACGAGATTCAGTTCAACTGAATGAAATGCCAACGTTGGGTTGCATTGCACTAAGAAAATAAATGCAATTATTTGTTTTCTAGAAAATAAATGCAATTATCATCCCCTCTGGCCCTTAACCTGGGCATCTATGTGCCTCTAGGGAAATACTGATCATTTCACAGTCTGAAAAACACTGGAGGAGGGGAAGGGGAGAAACCTTCATGGAAAATTAACTGGGAGATGCTGCAAGCTAAAGAATTGATTTCTGTCTCTGCATCTCTGTCTGTGCCATGTTCTGTACTTTGCGTTTTCCTCTGGACTTTCTGACATTTAGAAGCATTTGGCAGCTCATTGAATTCTGCACATCATCCAGCGCTGGGAAACTTATACTCGCAGCAGTAGTTCAGTAGGGACACATACTCTCTGGTGTCTGTGAAGAAGGATGCCACCATTGCTTTGTTCAGTTTCTTGACACAAAGTTGTCTTTGAGTGATGCCACATGTAAACTGGGGAAGTACACAGCAGTGGAAGGTAACATGGACGCTGCTCACCTACTATCCACCTTGCAAAGAATCGCAGTAATGTTTGTTATGGTCATGTGCTGTCAATATTTTATCTACAGGTTCTTGGAAATTTTCTCCATTTAGAATTGGACGGCCGCTCTGTTCCCGAGGGGGTCAGGCTGGAGTTGGGCGAGATGTGCTCTGAGAAAGAATGGACTCTACTGTGGGCTTTTTCCCCTCATTTGAACTAAAACACATTGGTTTTTTTTAGACATAACTGAGAAGGTTGGTGGCAGCAGCACTTGGCAGAGAATTTATAGTAAGCTCTAACTTTTTCCTGGAAAATGTTCTACACTCATTTGATTAGAACGGCCTAGGGCATGGCCGGCATGTGGAGATCGTGCGGCAGTCCTTGAGGATGTGCTGTGGGATCACAGACTTTCAGCGTTAACTCGCGCATCACAAAGAAACTAGTCCCCAAAGTGGGCTGCTCTGAGGATTTTTAAGAGCCCTGGGGCCAAGACATTTTTGGCAGGGGGAAGTGAATTGTGTGCAAAAAGGAAAGAGCTCCAGAGGGGTTAGAAAGTTATGTCATCCTTCCTCTGCGTTGAATGCGAGGAAAACGCACTTGGAGCTTGACTTTCAGAGGTGAGGAAGACTGCTATCTCACATGGAAACAGCAGGTCTTCCCAGAAGAAACAGCCATGCTATCAAATTCCTCCTTCCCAGTGACAAGATTGCTGAAGAAAGGAGGAGCAAGGGGAGGAGGAGACGTTTTCCCTGCAGCCACCTCTCTTCTCCTCCTCTGCTATTTTTGGTTGCCTCCTGTTTTGCTACAGCAAAACAAAGAGGGAGCCAACAGTGACAGCAACATCAAGAAAGAAACACCTTGTTCTTCTAAACAAGAACCTCCTTCTTCTAAAGCAGGAAAGAAACCACTGTCCTAATGGAAGCAGGTCTCCCTCTTGGCCGCCTGAGCTGGTCCTGAGACA